CACGATATCATGTCCATCGAACAGTATCCATGACTCATGGCCATAAAAACTTATGTCCATCGATCCGTATCCAAAACATCATGTCTACGAGAAGGTTTCAAACGAAACGCTTCCTCTACATCACTCTTTTTTTCACCAACCTCAGAAACTTCTCGTCAATAATTTTAGAATCTAATTAGTAAACAGCGCCTAAAGCAAACACAATTCATCATATGAAATCAACACGAACACACTTTAAATCCAATTTTAGTAAACAAATCCCATGTGAGAGTGCAAGATTAACACCATATATAATCAGAATTATAATAGAATAAATCTCAAATAGCAAAACCTATATTCCCATATAAAAACCTCAGAGAGTAAACAACATAAATTCCTAAAACTGTGAAAGCATGACAAAGCTACTAACAATAAAACCCTAACAATCACTGTCATGACCAAATGGATACATGCTATCTCTGAACACTGACCAGGCCGTCATGACCAAATAGATACATGCTATACCGAACACTGACCACACCGTCGTGTCCACCAATCACTGTCTACAGCTCGTATCTGTCTGTTGCAAATAATACTACCTTCTACTTTTTCTTTTCTATTCTCTCTTCGTCTCTGCAACACATAGGGAAATTATAAAAAATTCAGAAACCCTAGATTTTAAAGCCTTTTACAGAAATCGGTGATCAAACTTTTCAGAAATCGCATTAACAGACATGTATATAAGAAGAAATTAGAAATCCATTCGGGTTTGGTGGCCATACATGTCGGAATCGAAGGGTACAACAACCATGGCTCCTCACACGATTCNTTATGGAACAAAACAACGAAGCCCACCGTACACATCGAGATGTATTACTCGCTCAAGTCGCGACGAAGATGGAGTCAATGTAATTTTTCAGCCGAAATCAAAGCAACCACCACCGGCGGAGANAGACCAANGCAACAACCACCGACCAAAANCAATGGAGATGGACCAAAGCAACCACCATCAGCGGAGAGACGGACCAAAGCAACCACCATCGGCGGAGACGATGCCGATGTTGCGACGGAGGAGATGGAGATGACGATGAGAACTTTTGTTTTTGGGGAAAAAGAAGATTGGGTATTGGGTTAACTTTGATTTACATGGGTTTCGAAAAAAGAACAAGAGTTTGGATTTGATTTCAGATATGGATGTAGAGTTTTTGAGATTTTTATATGTATATTTAATGATTAGCTTTGAAAGAAAATGAAAAACA